GCCAAATTTGGGTCCCAAGGGCAGTTAGGTAATTTGGAGGTGCCTATGGGCAAAAGACCAAGTTAGGCATTTCACATAGAATTGGATAGATATCCATTCTAAATGAACCATGGATTAATATATTGTGAAGATATGGTGTACCCTAGTTCCAAGTCAACACTCAGGGTCAATCCTAAAGCCAAGTAATCCTATAGGGACTCTTCTTGAATTCTCTTATCAAGTTGAGTAAAAAGAAAAGTTTTGAATTTTTAATGGTGGGGGTACCTTTTCTAATTTTCTAAGACTAGTCAATAGGAAAGTCTTATGGCTAGACCTAGGCTACTAAAGAAGTTTCTAGACCTCAACCAAAAGTGAGGTCAACAACCCTCTGTCATCTTCAACAATTACGTCCTCCTCATCATTCCCCTACTCATTCTTTTACTCTTCGATCTCTTCATCCAAAACTAGGAGGAGTGAAGTAAAATTTCTCAAATTTGAAAACTTGGGGTCAATAAGCTTTGCCTTTACAAATTGGCTAATCACCAAACGTGGGCCCAACTCAAAGACGGGTGGCAAAAACAACCACCTACTAAGGGTGGGAAGGAAGCACGTCAATGAATTACTCTTTTGCCTTCACTTTTTTCATATTCTCTCATATATCTTGATTGTCCCCTTAAGCAACTGGCAACAACTCTGATAGAAGAGGCAACTTAACTTTGGCTCCCTCCAACTGCTTCTCAGTGGCAACAACTCGCTTCTCAGCAGCCTTCGCATGATCCTCCATGGCTTTTGCCCTTTTCCATCTATGTATGATCTTCCACTCCAAAAGAATAAAATATTGAAAATGTGAGGCTTCAAAAGCTATCATCTAGTATTGACACAGACTTAGAAGACTGTGCTCATGAAGTTACTTCTTAAAATTGTGATACCACAAAATTTCTCTGATCATTGAAGCAAATAGAGATGTGGCGGAGTAATTTGAATACTAGTCCCTTTTTCATGTGGAAGAGAACATACCGCTTGTCCGAGCTTGTAAACACCTTCACCTCCTCCCTTTGCATGAGGAGCCATGTAAGTTCAGAACCATTGCATTTCTTCTTGAGGGTGGAGGAGGCGAAGCACTCGAGCCAGTGCCTCAGATCATTTCCCTTTTGATGGTGAATTTCTTCTTCATGGGCAGTCATTTTTTGCTCTAGCTTAGAATCAGACATAGGTGGAATGACAAGAGAAGTTTGACGAGCTTTGACCCGCATCGCAGCATATCGAAGCTTGTAGAAGCCGACCAAGGGGTCATTGGCCTAGCTTTCGTGCCTCGGGCAGCGACAGAGCACTAGAAGCTTCATTTGTCTTGGGTGGTGGAGAACTAGTAGTTGCTTGTGAAGTTGTTCAACCAGCTAGTCCTGAGATGTGGCAGAAGGTTGGGTCGATGAACCCGTACTCAGGCCTCTCAATCTACTTCCATCATCCTCCCAATTTTTTCCCAATCGAGGAACTTGAACCGAATCAGATGACTCACTTGATTCATTTACACGTATGACTGTCGCTTCTTGGAAGCGATTTTCTTCTTCCTTTTCTTACCCTCCAAACGGTATTAAGCCACGGGCTTTTCGAAGGCTGCATACATCATTTCCCTGCTCGGGAGCTTATCTGGAGGGCTCGAGATGTTCTCTATTGAAAAGTTCAAAATTTGATCTATCCAGGTGAGGAGAAACACGAAGCAAGTTTGGAATATCAAAGTAGTCTTGTCACACTCTATTAATATGAATCACGGGCACAAAAAAACTAGGGATTTCAATTTTTGAAGCTCTAATTATAAAATAAATTATATATGATTTTACATTTAATTCTCTTAATCTTATCACAACGTCATTTTTAAGAAGTGAGATAATCTGGGAACTAAAATATGTACATAAAAAATGTGTCAGCATGAATCATGAAGAGATCTGACGATTGTGAAGGAAGAAAGTACAACAAAGAATGATCTATCGAGAGCAGACTAAGATGGCCCACTTATATAATTGGATGCAGCCATCCGAGCCAGTAAGAAGGTTAATCGAGCTATTATAAAACATAAAGAAAGATCCATGTTCAGAGAACAAAATCTGGTACCTCTCTCTCAACAAACGTCCCATGGACGCCCCGGAGGTTCCTCCTCATAAACAAAGAATTGGTCATATAACAAAGCCCCACAACCGTACCGAAGGGCCTCCCTCATCAAGGAATGAGCGATCTATCCACCTTATGCTCGATAGTATACTCGTGTTTGCAGACAAGAAGTCCTCATCTAGGGTTCAAGGGTCGACAGTGAGACTAGACCAACAAATTGACATAGCCCTGTCAACTGAGCCAGTCCCACCAAACCGAAGCTAATTGAATCTTGTTGACCGGCTACTCTGACTCAGTCAAGGCGACCGAATCGACATTAACAAGCCAAAGTCATGATATCACAACCACCCAATCATAGGGCACGGAGCAATAGACTAGCATATATAAAATACCTAAAATATTTCGTAACGACCCTTATTAACGGAGCAGAAATATAATACGACATATTATACATCTTTTGTATAGAAAAGAAATATAATTAAAAATATTATATATCTTTTGAAAAGAAAAGAAGATCACTTTATATGAGAAGACTAATAAATAAGATATTTTACTGTTTATTTTTTTTGTTATGCTCTAATCTAATCTTAATGATGGATTAAAGGATAAAAAATAAAATTCAACATTATGAATTGAGATTTTATATTGAATCTCCAATGTTGAAGTCATTTTCAACGGACAGAGGGAACCGCAATAACTTCATTTGTACGGTGCTAAAATAATTGAAGGTGGCGGAAGTGCGACCATAGAACGATTCTTCCCGGCCATTTCATCCCCACCTCGCAAGTGTGCTTACTGCGTGGTACGGCAATAAGCGCCTTCCCAAATACCCTATTCTTTCTCCTTTTTTACACCTATGCCACAACGTGGTCCGAAGCATGGAGAACCGGCCGTAAAAGGTTTGGGGGAAGCGGGGAAGAGCAGCTTCTCCTTTGTCTCTTTTTTGGTTTTGTACTCTCTTCCGAGCCGCATCGCTTTCTTTTCAGGTCAGCTCCGACCTTTCTCTCTTTCTTCTTGGATCCGCGGCGGCTCTCCATCGCATTCGGTTCGCCGGAGGGGGAATCGCGGCCGTTGTTTTCACTGTTTTGCTCGATTTTTTTCTTCTCGATCCATGTAAGGGGCTTCTTATTCGGTGCTGCTTTACGGTCTTTTGAGTAGCCATGAATGGATTTCCCCTTCCGCACTTGCGAATGCCATCTTACCGAGGAACGGCCAGGGATGCGTGATTTGTGCGGGCGGGGCTAAATTCCCTCTCGATTGTTGGGCTTGGTATTAGCGGAGAGCTTCTTTAGTCAGAAGTTTGTGGCTTAACGAAATTTATAGGTGTGGGAGAGGATTTGAGGTTGAAGATGGAGGGAGATGTGGATGCGGGACTCGCGCCTCCTATTTTTCTTCACAATCAAACTCTTCCCGGTCGGTTCTCTGACGCGTCGCCGATGGCGAGAAAGCGAGATTTACCTTGGGGTAATCCTGGCTTCCACCATGTTCATCATAAGCAGGAGGGCCAGCAATGGTTCATTGGGTCTGGTCTTTCTACGCCTAGCCATTCAAATAGCTGGAACCCTAAGATGTGGAAATGGGACAGTGTGAGATTCTCCTCAAAACCTTCCGAGGATGTGCCGGAAGTGTTATGTCTGGGCACTCAGGGGGTTGCTGGAGCTGCAGAGAGCGGTAGCTGTGTAGAGCAGAGGAAAAACATGGAAGAGGGTGGGAAGTCTCAACTTTTGCGTGAGGGAATGGAGGAAGGTGAGAATCTAGCTTTGAAGCTTGGTGGTGGTGGATGCAGAGTGGAGGAGCAGGTTGGGAGAGCTAACAAACGAGTTCGATCTGGATCACCTGGAAGTGCTGCTAGTTATCCCATGTGTCAGGTTGATGATTGCAAAGCAGATCTTTCGAACGCAAAGGATTATCACAGGCGGCACAAAGTCTGTGAGTTTCATAGCAAAACTGCCAAGGCCCTTGTTGCCAAGCAGATGCAGAGATTCTGCCAGCAGTGCAGCCGGTAATTGTTTTGTAACCTTGATTTTGTACTTCCCGATAAGTCGATCAATTCATACATACAGAAAACAGTTCATCTTCTTACAAGTAGAAAACATTTTTCTTGTTGATTAGCTGAGTTTCAAAGTACAGAAATTTTTTTAACTTTATAATCAGATCACATGTTTGAGTGTGTAATTCGTGATGTTTTCTCAACTTAATTCATTTTTTAAACTTTTTGCAGCAGAACGTAAACTACATTTTGTGAAGAAAATCACGTTGTTGTAATTCATTGAGTTCTTATCTTTAAAATATGTTGAATTTATTTTATTTTATTTTTTTGTTTTCAAATTGGCAACTTTACTACCTTCGTCTGCTCAGTGTCTTCTCTGAATCTGGAATTTGCAGCAGCATCTTTTTGCTCAAGTTGTCAAATTGAATATTTTGAGTGAAAATTAAACTTTGTAGTGCAATGATTATTTAGATTCCATCCGCTTACGGAGTTTGATGAGGGAAAAAGGAGCTGCCGCCGCAGGCTTGCTGGACATAATCGCCGTAGGAGAAAGACCCAACCCGAGGATGCATCAACCAACATTTTGGCTTCTGAAAGCCAAGATGCAAAAGTTAGTGGGAGCGTGGATATTGCCAATTTGTTCGCCATTCTGGCACGGTTGCAAGGCAAGCTGTTTAAAGTTATAAACCTTTTCTTACTGTAAGAATTCCTCCTCACCAATTGGTAGTGTTTTATCAGGCAATATTGCGGGCAAACCTACAAGCATGCCATCTGTACCTGAAAGAGACCAGCTTATACAAATTATAAACAAAATTGGTTCTTTGCCTCCTACAATTCCCTCTCCGAAAACACTGGTGCAAAGAAGCTTTGATCTTAATGTCTCCCAAGCTCCACAGCAAAGTTCTTCGGAGCAGCCATCTCAAGGGAGAGGTAATCTAAGTATTCCATCAACAATGAACTTACTTGGGGTCCTTTCAGCAGCTCTTGCATCATCAAATCCCAATGTTCTGGCAAGCATGTCGCAAGAGAGCAGCCATGAAAATGGAAGCAGCAAGAGCAGGGAAGCATGTCAGAAAGCTATAAATAGTATTAATTCACAAAACAAGGCTGCTTCTGTGTTTCCACCATCTAGAGACAGAGAAACAGACTTTAATGGACATTCTCAGTTAAATTCTTCTGAACATTCTATTCTTATTGGGATGCCAAGTTTGCCATTGCAGCTATTTGGATCCGCTGGATCCGCTGAAGATGATAGTCCTCCAAAACTTGGGTCTGCAGTTAAATATCCATCCTCTGAGAGTAGTAATCCAATAGAAGATAGATCTCCTTCATGTTCGCCTCCTATTGCAAAGAGGCTATTTCCTCTTCGCTCCGAATCTGATAAAAAAGAGGAAAGCATGTCGATATGCAGGGAAGATCATGCAGTAGCTGAAGCGAGCACAACATGTGGATGGGCTCCACCGTTGGAACTGTTTAAGGATCCAGACAGGCAGCTTGATAATCAAACAGTTCAAAACATGCCATACTCGGGAGGGTATTCATCATCTTCTGGCTCTGATCAATCTCCTTCCAGTTCAAATTGTGCTGTTCAGGTATTATAATGTTTAGCGTATCAAAAAATTATATAAAATTTTCAGAATTTTTTTGGGTGCTGATACAATGGATAACATTTTACAAATGCTATTTAAAGGAGAGAACTGGACGAATTATTTTCAAGCTTTTCGACAAAGATCCCAGCAATTTACCTGGAACACTTCGATCTGAGGTATGCCAAAATAGGTGTTAATGAACTGCTTAGTATCTTGGTTAAAGTTTTAATTTTTGATAAATGTTTTATTTCAGATATTGAATTGGTTGTCTCGTAGTCCAACTGAAATTGAAAGCTACATCAGGCCTGGCTGTGTGGTTTTATCTATTTATTTATGCATGGCATCAGCTGCATGGCATGAGGTAGGCTGGCAGATATTTTAAATTAGTCATCTTTTTGGCTTTTTTTTTTTAAGGATTAACCGTGGGAAGTACTGTTTTTGCAGCTTGAGGAGGACTTCCTTCAAAGGGTTACTTCACTTGTTAACTGCTCTGGCTCAGAGTTCTGGAGAAATCTAAGGTTTTGGGTCCGCACGAGTACACAAATTGTTTCACACAGGGATGGTATGCTTTTATCCTCTTTTGGCTTCAGTAGTTGTTATTGGGAAAATTTGCTGCTTTTTGCCTAATGGCTTCCTGCACACTAATGTATGTGACATAAGCAAGACGGTATAGTTAGAATCTGAAATTTCAAGGTTTTGCTCATTCTTTTAGGGAAAATACGTGTCTGCAAGTCTTGGAGATCTTTAACCGCTCCTGAAATAACATCCATATCTCCCATTGCTGTTTTGAGTGGACAAGAAACTTCAGTCATTCTTAAAGGCCCCAATTTGTCTATTCCAGGAACCAAGTGAGTCCATAGCTTCTTCATTTTTATAGTGTGTGTGATATCGGTCCCCTTTTTTTAAACATCATTTGTATATGTGCAGAATTCATTGCACTTATAAGGGCGGGTATTGGTCGAAAGAAGTATTTGGTTCAACACATGCAGGAGCGATATATGATGATTCCGGAACAGAGAGTTTCATTCTTCCTAAAGATTCACCTTTTTTGTATGGACGCTATTTCATTGAGGTTAGTTTACCCGTCTCCATGGTTTTTCACATTCGGAGCATTTGCTCCAGAAAATGAGAGGCGGAATATGTCACAACTTTGCCACATTTTTTTTGCTAATATTGAGTTTTTTGCAGGTTGATAATGGTTTCAGAGGGAACAGTTTTCCTGTTATAATCGCTGATGCTACTATCTGTGAGGAACTAAGATCGCTTGAAGTTGAGTTCGATGAAGATCTAGATGCCATTTCGGAAGACCTGTATCAAGAGAGTAGAAGGGCGCAATCCAGGGAGGATACCCTTCACTTTCTGAATGAACTTGGTTGGTTGTTTCAGAGAAAGAACCATTCAGATTTCCCCTTCATAGATTTCGCTGCTTCACGGTTCAAGTATCTCCTTACATTTTCAGTAGAGAGAGACATGTCTGCTCTTGTGAAAAAGCTTCTGGACGTACTAATGGAAAGATGCCATGGAGGTGATTCTGTATTGAATGAATCACTGGAACTGCTACTTGAGCTCCAGTTGCTAAGCCGAGCAGTGAAGAAGAAATGCAGGAATATGGTTGAGTTGCTTCTCAATTACTCTGTAAAGAATGAAATAACTAAAGATTCAAGAACGTATCTGTTCCCTCCTAATTACACAGGCCCTGGTGGATTGACCCCTTTGCATCTAGCTGCATCAATGGGGAATGCTGAGGACATGGTTGATGCACTAACAAATGATCCACAAGGGGTAAACTTAATTTAAATACACATCTTTTAAATCTTCATGTTCTGCATATATTTTCCTTCCAGAGAACAACTTAAATATATTATTTTGATAATTCATTTCTGTTCTGAATCTACATTAGATTGGGCTGAACTGTTGGGTTTCGAAGATGGATGAGAGCGGCCGGTCTCCCTCCTTTTACGCATCATCAACAAACAACTCATACAACATGCTTGTAGCAAGGAAACTTGTAGATAAGAAGAATGGTCAGGTATCAATCAAGATCAGACAAGAAGATAAATCCATGGAGAATATTTGTGCTGAGTTAAAACCAGCGGCAAAGCATGTTAATGCTTGTAGTTTAGAAGCAATGGCAATAAGTTCATGTGCCCAATGTGCCCTGGCAGCAGAAGCTCGCCTTGTCAGAATAAACCATCATCGGGGTTTTCTCCAGCGTCCATACGTCCACTCCATATTAGCAATTGCGGCGGTTTGTGTATGTGTCTGCTTGTTCTTTCGTGGGGCTCCATTTGTTGGTTCCATTGCTCCCTTCAAGTGGGAGAATCTGGATTTCGGTCCAAGATAGCTTCCAAGGGAAAACAGCAGCAGAATGTAGAAAAATATCTTTTTTATCTGAGTTTGAGGTGGCATCCATGGAAAGTTAGCAAGAGTCGTTGTGAAGCAATTAGTGTTTGCTCTTTATGATCCAGGTTATGTGTTGAAACAAATGCATCTCTTTTGGCTTCCATGTCTAACTTAGTTCCTTCTTGTGCTCGCTGCTGCAGCCAGGCCCATGGTGATGGAGTTGAAATTCTGTTGCTCTTTGTTAAGTATTGTCTTGGTATATATTAATGTGAGAGCAGAAGAATGGTGTATATTTATACAAGGGAATATAATGAATATAAATTCCCTTGCCCATTCTTTTTTAATAATTTAGTAGTTCACATTCATTTATGTAAGCATGTTCTGTATTTTTGGTTTTTCAGGTTCGGCATATTGTTTACAAATTTGCTTTCTGATTTTTATGATCCTGCTTAGTTGATCTGTGCCTATTTTATATGCATTATGTTAAGAGAAGTATAATGATGTATGATTTAGAAATTGGCAAAAAAAAAAATGTTTAGAATATTTTGACTCAAATTTAATTGCGATAAGTTTAATATTTATTACTTGGAGATAAAGATAATGTTGATTTTAATTGATTAGTTAATTTTGATTGATTAGTCAAGTATTACTCATTTCAAAATAAAGTTGATGATTATAATACATACTTTATTAAGTGATCCGAAATCAACAAATGTTAGCATGAATGATGATATTAGTGTATATCTCGAGGTATTTTTTTGGCAGGAAATTTTGAAGCTCAAATTAAAAATTTTTATAGTGATCCTCGGTGTGATAAAAACAATGACATCAAACGTGATTCAATTAGTCAAATAAAGTATGGATCAACTCATTTAATCTTTTTTAGAACCTCTGAGTGGCTAATTGTAGTGTCAAATAGATTTAAAATCCAAAAAACTTATAGCAAAATATAATGCTCGATGTGATGCATCCAACAAGTCGAAGATAACTCAATTTCGACATCATTAAGATAATAAAATGTCTACAAAACATCATATGATCATGAGTAGCTCTTCAGATCGTTGATGAAGTTGTCTAGATTTTTTTCTTATTTATAGAGAAAGTTACTCTCAAACTCTAAAAATAACGTCTTACCCCTTCATGAAAGGAGACCAATGATGGAGACCTAAAGCAAGAGATGGACCAGAAGAACTCGAATGTCAATATTATTTTGGACCAAAAACCCGACGAATATTTCCTGCCCTCACAATCATTAAACACTGCTCTCTGACCATCATCGACCACCATCGGATGCTCCCTACTTGTTGATGCCGATGAATCTTATGTTGTAACAATGTACCCCAAAGACGATATAGCATTGCACTCTGAAATTGGTGTAATGATGCACCCTGAAGGGTGTAAAAAAGCACTCAAGAGTATGATGTGATTTCTTGCAATAACTACAACCATCGTACTCAGAATACGGTGACCTCCTCTGAACTACAGAAGTTCTCTTCTCATAAAGCCTATGACCTATGTGGTTCACTACTACAACAACCCCTTACTACTGCCTTGACTGCCAACTGACACTACTACAACTCACAACTACGAACTACATTACCAAATACAAACCACATGGTCCACAACTCATCCAACTCCTAACTTGGACTTTTGCAGCCTACAAACATTACTACAGCTCCCTGTTATGGCTTATGTTACCATATACGGTCTTCGCGGTCCATTAATCTTTTAACTCCCAACTCTGGCCTATGCAGTTACAAATATTAAAACAGTTCAGCACTATGACATATATAACTAACTACGGCATGTCTCACAACTCATGTAGCTCCTAACTTTAGCTCTATGGTCTACGTACATTGTTATAGCTCCTTGTTTCAGCCTATTTGACCAACTATGACCTGACTAGCTCATGCATCTCCTAACTTCGGCCTCTGTAGCCTACGAAAGCCATCGCAGCTGCCTATTACAGTCATTGTGGTCAACCAACACTCTTAATGCCACCATCTACAACCTACATAACCAACTACTATGATGACTTTCAACTCAAAAAGTGCTTCATTAGCACCCCACCATACTAGATTTCTTCCCCACAACTTGATTAAGAAGTTATTCTCTTCAAGATTCAATACATGAATTGTTTTATAGACTCAATTAGACAACACCACCATTGGGGGATAACAAATTCAAAAACAACATCAAAAAAAGTTGTCAAATATGGTAACCATATCGTTAAGAAGAATTACGGTCAATCTCAACCTACATCCATTCCCGAGAATTATGTAGCATCACTAACACCTTATTCTGGGAATCAGTTCCAAGGGGAGCTGATTCGTCCACTTCCATAAAAAACTATGATCGTCAAGTAGAAGCATCAAGTAACATCCTGAAATAGGTTCAAAATTCTTGGTGAATTTCACATGAATTTATCTGTGACAAGTTGACGTTTTCGAGCATCTCCAGCTTTATAATATAGGATGGTTCTTACATCCTTGAATTATAATTGACTTCTTCCACTACAAGCTACAGTCGTCGAGCGGACTTGCTTCAACCAAACAACCTAAGAAAGGTCAGACATTCTTAGTGACAGATATAGTCTTCACTCATACACCTAGTATATGAGCCCGGGAGTCAAGTCTCGATAGGAAGCTAATAATGGATATACTCCTCACTAGAAAGTTCTTCTGAGGGCAAGTAAAAGACAAAGTTTCCACCCATACTCCTGGAATATGAGCCCAGGAAGCAAGTCTCGATAAGAAAATAGTAGTGGACAGGGTCATCACTAGAAAAACTTTATGAGAGTAAGTAGTTGGCAGGGTCTCCACTTAAAATCAGGAAAGGCTACAATCCTCCAAAGATATATGCACATCAAAAACCTTAGAAGGCATAAGCCTCAAAAGGTAAATACTCGCCTCAAACCTTCATAATGCATAACCTTAAAATATACATAATTTTTTGCCGGCCCCCAGCCATATATTCCTGGCGCTCATGTGCACGGGCTCCCACTCAATAACCTTCTTACTTCTCTTCAAGGGAGGAGAGCATGTGATCTATGTATCCTCCATCAGCTTATTCACACACTAACGTATCACTGCCCTCTTAGAGGAGGATGAGGCCAGGTTGCTAGAAGTTGAGCTCGACGCCCCTGACGAGGAACTAGGCTGAAGCAGTGGGAGTGGTATGGCAAGCTTTGTCTCTCTCAGACAAAGTAACGTAGGATGGAGCCCCAGTTCACGAGTCCGGTGGAATGCTGACACTCGGAAACACGCTAGCTTGCCTACTCTCAAAGAAGAAGGGTCGGTGGCAACGATCTCATCTAGGATTCTCTCAGAGACAAAAGCACTCCTATCTCCTACCCCTGCATAGTGATCTTATCTTGAACAACAATGTTAAGAACAAATGTGGAAACAAGGTATCTCAAGGCCAATTTAGAAGGGGGCGATACCTCATCCCCTACAAAATTACCTGATTATGTGAGATATTTTTGCTTCTGAGTTCTATAGGCCAGCTTTTATTTGTTGTCGTCTACCAAACCTCCTCTATAATGTCTGTGTCATGCCGCTGCTCACTCGTGATCTTACCTATCAACACACGGGTAACCATCATCTCAGCTTCTCCAGAGCAATGTTCATGCTGTGTGGAAGTGACGTTTGTTTGGACATTGTACACTCTAACGACTAGGTCTGGATTCCCCAAGCATCAAAGCAGGAACCGACCAAGAACTTCTTCCAGTCCTTTATTTTATTCTTCACTCTCACCAAGTGGGGTTTCTTGCCAGTCAAAACATGGCATAACCCTCCCTATCGACCTTAAATGATAAAAAAATATCTAAAGAGGTCGATCGACCACACAATATTCTCTTGCCAACAGAAAAGAGCGAAAGACATGATCGCGACTATGGAATTCAACATCACTTGCGTCGGAATAACCCCGTATGTATTGAAGACACTGCAGAGCTCATGACATAGAGGAAACCAAAGGCCATATTTGAACTGGTCTCGGTAGAAGACCAGATCATTTCCCAAAGGATTTGTCACTCGCCCCGACCCGGGCAACTTCCAAAGACCAATGACATCGAGAACATACCTATCCTACAACTCTCTCACCTTGTTCTCCATTTACAATGAAGATCTGGTGCCTCTGAACAAACTAAACAGAGTAGGAGAGTATTTGAGGGCCATCTCACAAGAAAAAAACAAAAATAACCGAGGGACAAAGGGAGAAGAGAAGGTCGAAGGAAAAGAAAGGAAACTAAAAGCGCACAAAGTGAAAAGAAGCAACCCCTTCTCCTATTTATAAGGAGGGCGTGTAAAATGAAGCATCACATTACGATAAGTGGCACATCAAACATCATTTTAAAATTTATAAAAAAAATCCTTTTACTACAAATAACAATTATTACAAGCCTTGAACGAAGTGTTTGATAAAAAGGTCTTCCAAGACCTCGGAGGAGACATGCCCCCTCAACTTTTAGAGAACCAACTCTCCACCTAACCTAATCTGATCTACCTGATAAGCTTTTCGGTTGAACCTTACCAGATCCGACAACTAGCAGAGCGCCTCCAGCTTATACAGCACCACGGCCATCCCACCTCAAAAAGCGACAAGCACCGTCCGCAGAGCTGCTATTTCGGTATTTAGGCAAATAAATAGCTCTCGCATGCAGTTGAACCCCGGGCAACTTCGTCAATAGGGCTGACTGACGCCATTAACTGTCTGGTCTGACCTGTCTGCTACTCCATGGTGTCTGGGGGCGGTGATCACCATGCTAGTCTCCCTTATTGGAGAACTATCGTGAGCGAGGGGTCGGGCAACTGATGAACTTTTGAGGCCGACAACGACAAAAGCCCAACATATACGACCAGTTGATTGACCACCACAATAAGAACGGAATCTACAGCATCTTTCAATGTCCCGCTGTCCTAGCGATCCTCCAACCTGGTCAATTCTTCTATGAATCTTTCTATGGAAGAGCGGGTCTTAA